GCAAACAGGCAGATGTAAGACGATTCAACAGAAAGGGTGCACAATGCCACCTGTTTTAAGTATTTTGTATGAGGAAAGGCTTAAGTAGTAATATTTGTTTGAATTATGATGCAGAAGACCTCAGTCTCTTTCATTTAGCTTTGAAAATTGTTCAATCTTTAATTTCCTACATTCAAAAGTTTGTAATAATGACTTGAATATTAGAATTAAAGACCCAAATCTTAAGTTTCTCTTATTTCTGTGTTAACTTGTGAAACTATGATGTGATGATATCATGGCATGGCCAATACCCCAAATATTTATTTTTATAAAATAGAATTTAAGGACATAATGATGTAACACTCATCATTTAATTATTTATAAAGTCTCTCAAAGTTACTGTATCTACTGCATTTACCACATCTGAAGACAACCCATTCCAAAGGCCAACCACCCTATTAAAAAAATAAAACAGTCTTAGCTATAGAAGACTCCCACACTGCCAAAATTTATATTTCTGTCCCCTAGTCCTATCATTCTCATCAAGAACCAAAAAAAAAGACATATCAACACTACCAATTCCTTTAACAACCAACACCTCAACCAGATTCCCCTCTAACTCTTCCTTCTTCAAGAGAAAACAATTCCATAGATCTTAACCTATTCTTTTATGACAACCAATCCATGCCAGGTATCATCCTAGTAACCCTCCTCCAAACCCTTTCCAACAATTCAATGTCCTTCCTCAGGTAAGGAGCCCAAGAATGAACATAATATTCCAAATGTAGCCTAACTAGTAACCTATACAACAAAATTATAACCTCTTTAGACTTGTATTCAATATTTCTATACATACAACCTAAAATCCCATTTGCCCTACCACTAGCAACAATATAGTGCTTGGATAGCTTAGCAGAGAGGCATATGTTTATCAAAGGCTATGTTTCATTTGTCTGTGTTTGGCTATCAAAACATAACAATGGCCTTTGGTGAGTTTAATAACACTTAGAAAAGTGTACTGGCACCTTTTTGACAACTTTCCATCCAGGAAGTGTGTGAATTAATCCCACTGCTTCATCTAACTGTAGTTCTGCTGTTGTATTGATTTTCTTTTTAGGACCCCATTTGACATTTGGTTGAATAACAAAGACATTATAGCCTAAACCTGGTACTCTGTATTTTCTTCTGGCCAAACTGTCTTCATCCAATTCTTTCAATAGCTGTTCAACCTGCTCATCTCTGTCATCCTCTTCTTCTTCTTTAATTACAATATTTTCTTTCTTCATTTTCTTTTTAAACAAAACTGCAGAATTACTGATCTTTCTCAAGGACAGTAAAACTGGATATGTGACAAATCTGAGAAAAGGTGATTCTTGTACATACCAAGGTTTTTTACATACATAAGTTGAACTTTCTGGCCACTGAACACAAGTGTTTGTACATCTATACAACTTTCTTAACTCTTTGTTTTTAATAAAATTCTTCAGTAATGTGGCTTTTGGACCAGCTACAACAGATGTGGTGTGAAGGTGTAATGAAGATACATGAAAACAAGGTTCTAAACTTAAAATTTTCACACACGAGAAGTTAAAACATCCATTGTTTCTGGTAAAGCTACAACTATCAGTGAAACATCTTCTTTGAAGAAGTGCATGTACAAGTGAAACAGAGCGATTGATTTTCATCCCTCGAAACATTCACTATACAGATGCATACCTGCAAAGTCAATAAATATTTGGTTATGATATGAACACAATAACTATATTCTGAACCTAAACAAATAACAAATGTCACTAAGTGCAAAAGTTAAACATAAGTAAACAACCAAAATGGATAATTTGCCAATTGCCAAAATTGAAAATGTCCAACATGTTCCAATAAAAATATTAAGGTTTCAGTTTTGGTTTTTAAACTTTGGTTTACAAGCATACAGTAGTCTTAAGAAAATGTTTATATTTTTCTTAAAAATTTGTTTAATTCAGTAGGGACATCCTTACAACAAGATTTTAAACCAGTCATACACGTTAAAATACTAAATATCTTGAACATTTTAAATTACTTACTGTCCTAGAAAATAACTCTACTTATTACAAAATCAAACTATGACATTACAAAAAATAATAATTAAGAGCAAGAAAAAACCAGACAAAAAAAGTCCATTATACCCATTCCCACCCCCTCTTTCCACTAGAATAATTAATCCAACCTTACCGACTCTCAGCTTTATTCAACCAAAAGTATAAATAAATTTAATTTTCGAATTAGCAGTACGGAGAAATAAATGTCAAAGGCCGCATTTCCTTTACTTTGAATTTGATACTTAAAGACAATAAAATTACTTCGTTTGTTGATACCAATTTATCATAAAAAAAAAAAAACGTCATGGAAATTTTCCTTCCTATTTTCGTTTTCAAATGACTTTTCAATATTTTGGAAACACCCCTTCCAATTCTAGACATTAACGTGCTCTTGTCAATATTAGTCACCCTATTATAGTTTATAAAGTAATTTTAAATGTAAAATTCTCAAACCTCTAAGATTAAGAGTACGATATTACCGTCTAAAAATTCTCCTCTTACCCTCGCGATAGATTACAAATAACAACGCCCTCTCTTGACCATATTCGTTGTTTTTAATATTGTTTGTTGTACATCATAAACTAATTATTATGTTATTAAAAATATTAAGCCCAACCAACAAAAATACATTTAAGTCTTATCTAATTTATGGGTTAAAGCCGTCCCTAATTTATCAATGAAAGATGGAGGAAAGGCAGTCATCACCACCAACCGCCAACTCTTTTTACCAACGAATAGAGGGGATTGATCGTCACAATATAACGCCCCCCACGGTTGAAAGAGCAAGCATGTTGGTGGGACGGGGATTCGAACCATAACCACCTGACCTAGCCGACAATTAAAACAAGTGTTTCTTTAACTACGTAATGATGTATCGTAAAAGGAAATTGGATAACTGTTTAATTACGAAAACAGGCGCTTCAAGGGGAAGAGAAAGTTCAGTTATTGATTTGAGCGCCGCAGTGCGTCGAAACAAAACGATAAATAACACTATAATTTTTATAAAATGTACACAATAACAAAAGGAGTAGAAAACACACTGTATGGTCCCATAGTACACTTTCAATAATGTGATACACCTCAAACCTGGAAAAATTATGAACACAATGATAAAGATGAATAAATTCAACAGATTTTGTGAATACTATAATAAAGATAAGCTGAATACCTTGTGTTTATTATATTACAAACTTGAAGAGTTGTTTATATGAAAATAAATAAATTGCCCCAACACCCTCCAGTTGGTGTATCACAGACTAAAAATGTTGTGAACAAAGTAATAAAGAAAAATAGGTTCAAAACATTGCGTATGGTATGACACAAAGTTAGAATTTTGTAAACAGGTTAAGTTTATTAAAATATAATACAATAATCAAATTGCAATGTAATTTAAATCAAAAAATTAAAATATTTTTCGTTAGTTAAAAGGACACTGTAGGTACTTTATTACTCTATTTATTATATATTTTTTACAGTTGATTTGTCGAACAATGGTCACAAGATAACGGAATGATTCAACCGCAAACACAGTTTTGTCTTTGCTTGGTGAAAAAAAGGCATAGGCTTAACCGACCTATTTTACTTTCAGAGGCTGTGGATTGAATAGATACGCTCAGTTATTTATTAGTTTTCAACAGAAAACTTCAAAAGGAAAACCTCCACACACACACAAAAAAAAGATATTTGATTATTTAAATTGATCGTCGCGTGACGAGCTCGACGATTTTTACCGGATGAGCATGACTGTGGTCGTATATTTCTATTTACATGGATACTCTCCTCACTGTCACTTAATGCGCCTGCGTAAAACCAGAAAAATATTGCAGGATGTGGGTTTCAATTACCAATTGATGTCTAGGACGTATAAAGAGCTCCCATTTCAAATATTAACTATTTTCTAGGACAAGTTTGTAAAAGAAGTGTAGGCACTAAATAATGCTGGTAATAAAATAAATATAAAAAGGCGTCATACCTAAGATAAAAGAGGTTTTTTTCTTGTTTTAGAAAACAATGAAACAAAAAAAAATTAAGCTAAATTAAACTATGACTAAGATTTTTAATTTGTTTCGGAAACAAGGTAAAGAAGCATTCTTACTTTTTATATGAGTTTGAAGTATGCCGTTGTTTTGCAACTGGAACAACGTACAATATTTTAGTGATATAACCAGAACAACGTACCATGCTTAAGTAAAAAAGGGTTAGGAAAGTTGGATGAGTTTGTAAAGTAATGCAGACAAGGTCGGACGTTTTATGGAGAATGCTTGGATATTTTTTATTTTCTCACAAGATATTAATTATTTTTACTTATAAATGAAACCCATAGATCATTTCATTTGTTCAGAGATGTCGCTAGTTACAAATAGCTTACCTTAAAAATTCACTACGCAAGTTAATCTGGATACATATTTACTTTGTCAATTGCAAGATAAGTTAAATAATGTACAGTTAACCACAACACGTCATTCGTGCTAGTTTAAAATTATTCAAAAAAAACGCATAACTAATTTAAAATATGATTGAGTAACTAAATTAAATACTACCTGACCTTTAAGACATAAAACTTGTAATTTATTTATACTGTGTGAAAGAAAAATCACAACATTTTCAGCAATCTTAATCACTAAAATATTGTACGTTGTTCCAGTTATATCACTAAAATATTGTACGTTGTTCCAGTTGTATCACTAAAATATTGTACGTTGTTCCAGTTGTATCACTAAAATATTGTACGTTGCTCCAGTTGTATCACTAAAATATTGTACGTTGTTCTGG